AGCGTTGTGTCCTTGATGCCAAATACCTTTCCTAAAGGCAAGTACACTGATGATGGGAATATAAATTGTTACAAAGACCTGTGTCACCATACCCCTCTTCAACTTATAGTGAGTTGTTTAAATCTGATCTAATTTTGTCAAGTTTCTATGACTACAGAAAGTTCATCACTTTTCCATGTTATTGATTACTTGCTGCTGCTTTCGTGAATACCTTTTCAAGTCTTTTTCTATCTTAGCTATTCCTATGAAGATAAATGGTGTATTTTTATAATCACTTATCATAGTAGAATTTCATCTGTTTATGGTAGTCATTATTCCAGTTTTTTGTTTTTCATTTACTTTTTAGTTATGTTCTTTTTGAACATGTGGAGCTTCTACATCTTTATGAGTCAGTTCTCTAAGCAGTGGTCCCCCACCTTGTTGGTACCAGGGACCAGTGCTCCTGTGAGAATCTAATGCCTGATGATTTGAGGTGGAGCCGAGGCGGTGATGCTAGAGTGCTGAGGAGCGGCTGGAAATACAGATGAAGTTTTGCTCACTGGCCCACCGCTCACCTCCTGCTGTGCAGCCCGGTTCCTAACAGTCCACTAACTGGTACCCGTCTGCGGCCCAGGTGTTGGGGACCCCTGCTCTAAAGCATTTCTTTTTGTAGTTTTTTCACTTTTTAAGCTAAGAAAGTTCTTATATAAAGCTTTATCTAAACACTTTAATAATCACTTGTTTTCCTGTTGTTATTCACATTAACTCTTAACACCTCTGGAATTTATCTTGCTGCCCTCTACCCCCTCAAAAAAACTAAGTCTTACAGCACTGTTTTCTGAATAATTTTCCATTCTCTAGTTAGTATACTATGCCCATGAAGTCTTTAATAATTTTTATGAAAAAAATTTATCTACATTTCCTAAATTAGCAAATTGAATTTATTAGGAACTTATTAGTGGTCAGTTACTTTGGCCAGTTTCAGTCTTAAAACAGGCATATTTTGTGGTATTAATGCGATGAAATCATGACATTTATAAACTGACTTATACTTAATTTAATATTGTGATAAAAATTTCCTTCCTCGAACCTCATGAAAGAGATCACTAGGGAAAACAAAAGACTAGCATGTTTAAAGAAATTTGAAAATTAAAATGAAGAAAGTTTGTTATTAATCAGCGTTATTAATAAAAGCAGCCACTTTACAAACATCAGGTTTAATTCTTAAGATCCACTTTACACCTGAGAAGGCATAATTTAATATTGTGATAAAAATTTCCTTCCTCGAACCTCATGAAAGAGATCACTAGGGAAAACAAAAGACTAGCATGTTTAAAGAAATTTGAAAATTAAAATGAAGAAAGTTTGTTATTAATCAGCGTTATTAATAAAAGCAGCCACTTTACAAACATCAGGTTTAATTCTTAAGATCCACTTTACACCTGAGAAGGCAGAAACTGAGAGTTGCTCCACCCCCTCACCCCCCTAACCCCCCCACCAACCCCGCGTCTGGGAGCTGGGAGGGGCAGAGCCAGAACTGCCTTCGGGGCTGTTTATCACAGTCCACAGATACAGTCTTGGAGTCCCCCAAAGGGCTTTCTTGTTGAGACAGCGTCCATTCTCTATCCAAGAATAAGAGTCATCATCTCTATCCAAGAATAAGAGTCATCATGCAGCTCTCTGACATTTATAGTGTAAAAGGAGGGGTAGAATTAAGAACCATAGCTAAAGGTTTGTAGGCAGGGAGCATATTGAAATTCTCTCTCCTACAAGATGGAACTTGGGGACCCTGAAGGTGAAAAAGTAAGTGTTCCTCTCTGGTGTGGGATCGTAGGTGCTAAGGGATCACCTCATGGTGGGTCAGAAGGTAAGCCCCTCTTATCCGGTCAAGCCCCTTCACTTGGTTAAATGCGTGTGAGCTCTTATTTTCTCAAATGTTCTTTCTCTGTAACTTTTGCAGAACATTTCCTCATTTCTCTGCCACATCTTGCGTTTTCAGGCAGCGTTGGTTCATTTTTGAAGCCGCGTGGTCCAATGTTGAGCCAGCGTCGCTCTGCGGAGACAAGTGGCTGTTTGTTCGCTGCGCAGGGCCTGTGCCCTCCAGGGTACCGGCTTTGCAGCTCCCTCGGCTGATCCTTTCTCCAGTCCCCGCCGGAGCCACTTTTGTGGCAGATTCCATTTGGTCTCACAGGGCCTCGAGGAGGGGCGGTGGGGGCCACTTGGCAAAGCCCACCAATCTCCCACATTAGGAGCAATTTGCAAAGTGCTGTTGGAGGAAGCTTGAGCCCAGCCCCCCAACGGGCTGCTCCTGTTCCCCCCATTGTCTGCGGGGATCGGGAGCCTTTCTCCAGCTGACCTGCCCTGGAGTGGAGAGATGTGAAAAGTTAGAGACAAAAATGGTTTCTACAGAGAGAGTGGGGGGCTTTCTTATACAGAAAAGAAGGAAATACCTCTGTGGGATTTTATTTCCCCCCACCCTCTTCATCCAAAAAATACAAAGAGACTCTGTCTTTAATGCGAATGTCGGCTTTAAATCTTTTAGGTTTGGATTAACTCTGCAAAAGAAAAAAAAATCTGACAGGCTTTCAGATATGACGCAGAAAAACTTTTTTCCCCTCAATTCATGTTGTTCATTTGTAAAGCCAAAGGCGGGTAGACTGAATAGTGGGCGCCAGTTGTCCCCCCACCACCCACCCCAACTCAGTTAACATCACAATGGTCAGAATTAGCAGCCTCAAGTCTCCACCACCACTTTTCCTTTTCCACCAGCGGACATTTAATACAAGGTGGCAAAGACAAGAATAAATATTTCTTCTCTTGCCCCCTAAAGTAGGTTAAAATTAAGCCAAGTAAACAAGATATTTTCAGTTGCATGACTTAGAATCTTGAATCTTAACTCCCCCTGCCCAAGGAAAAAGAAATGTGGATTTTTACAGTTGTTACTAAAAAGCTTCCTTCACTCTAAACAAAACCCACTGACTTGATAGACATTTCCTATTACATAGTTATTGTTGGTTTTCGCTATTGAGGATGTCAGCAAACATGTCGAAGATCATGTTTTGCTTATAAAATAAAGTGACTTTTATGTGACTATTTTTCATGTTGGTGTCTGTGGGTGCTATTTCATGGAATCCACGTGGCCACATTTATATTCTGAAATTTTTTGTAATAGCATGTTTTTATTTTAACTGTGTTCAGAGCTATTTGATCCTATAAAGGGGAAAAACTTATCATTCCTGAACCAACAGTCTGTATGAGTAAGCCTGTGTTCATGTAGAAAAAATTCAAACAATTTCTGGTCTTAATAGAGAGTCAAATGAATAGATAATTTGAAATATAATTTAAAAGTAGGAATCTTTCTATTTCTTAAGCATTGTTTGATTAGGACTCCTTGTGTGTAATTGTGAAAAAGCTTGTAAGAATTAAATGGTAGGTCATTTTTAATTACTGAACTATATACCTGGTTTAAAAAAAATTCTATGTGATTTTTTCATAGAGTGTAAATGTGCATGCATTAGTTGGCTACTTTTTAATGAGGTTACATAACCATACATTTACTGAAAATTTACTCTTGATAAACAAATAGACTTGAAGTGAAACAAAATATTTTTATTTTATTGTATGACATATTACTTTTAAGCTCTATGTAATCTAATTACATGACAAAGGAATTTTTATTGTAATTACAAATAACTAATAGAACTTATTAATTTTTTAATTATAGAATTATTTTCTTTGCAACCCAAAAGACTCTGATATAGCAGTTTGGGATTTGATACAAAAGAATGATTAAAATTATTTTTGCTACATTTTTATTTGGGCTTTACATATTAGATATTTGGTTTGACTTTAGCAATAATAGGATGTAGCAATACAAGTTATGCCAGTCTTTGAACAAAATTAAGATTATTCCAGGTAATAGCAATTGAAAATAAAATTATTTCATAGATAGCTTAATTTGATTATACTATATTCATGATTCATTGGGATCATTTTTTAATATGTTGTATTTTATAAAAGTAAAGTTAATTTTTATTTGGTAGAAATGTAAATTTAGTTTCTAACTAGAATTTAATCCAGAATATATTTGAATTTGCTCAAAAAGATTGATTTGATATTCTAAGTTATAAATGAAGATCAAAGATATTTTAAGTTGTAAAAGAAGGTGAAAGCTTGTTACTCCATGTATTGACCACAATAATATAAATCTCACATAAAAATATGAAAATATTTGGCAAATATAAAACTTTGCTATATTAGCCACTTGAAAGGGAAAAATTAGATGTAGTAAATACATATTTTAACACATTTGGCTTTTAATTTCAAATATTTCACAAGTTTAAATTTAGAGTTATTACATACCCTCTTGCAAAATGAGAGTCTCAAAATTATTTTACTTAAAATAATATAAAAACTAAACAAGAATGATGTGTTTCTTGGTTTTTAAAGTAACATTGTTTCTAATGGTTTACTCAGGCAGCCATGTTGTTTAGTTCCGGAGTCTTTTGGACTGGCCTGTTATTTATCCCTGTGGCATCTTTGCTTCTTGATGTGGCATACAAGGTGTAAGTATAATACTCGATTATGTATCTTAATCCTCATATTCTCTACTTGTAACATCGACTCAAGAATGTAGTCTGCAGAATAGAAATTAGTGATATTCATTGATTCTATATAAGTAAATGAAGAAAGGAGTGATTGAAGAGCTAGAAAACTAAAATTAGTTTAAAAGACCGAATGAGAAGTAAAACAGGTTGGTTTTAGTTAATACTAGAGAATACGTTGCTTAGAAATCAGCCTTAAAAACCCATCCAAGGTAGAAGAAAAAATTCTATTATCTCCAAATACACATATATATTTTCTTTATTAGTAAATAATAGTTGTGAAATGAAGTTTTTGCTTGCCTGATTCTAAACATATATAAAATACAGACTGGAAGAAACTAAAACTTTAGTAATTTTTCTCAAGGATTATAAGTTTTAAAATGTTATCTCTTCCCACAAAAAGTGATATCATTAAAGTTAATTATATGATGCTTATTTAATAACTGAGAGTTTTAATGTTATAAACCTAAACCATTTAAGTCTGTTATTTCTATAAATATATTAATGCTCAAAATTATTGTAATTTTTTATATTCTATTGAAAAACTGTTGCTTGTACTCTGGTTACTGTTGTACTTAACAGCATGGTAATAAGCCAGTTTTGTGAAGTCTTAAGTCTTCACACGAATATTTCCATGCAAATCTTTTTTTTTTTTTTTTTTTAAGATTCAAAAGGACCTTTTAAAACATTTGAAAAACTGTTGCTTGTACTCTGGTTACTGTTGTACTTAACAGCATGGTAATAACCAAGTTTTGTGAAGTCTTAAGTCTTCACACGAATATTTCCATGCAAATCTTTTTTTTTTTTTTTTAAGTATCAAAAGGACTGCTTTTAAAACATTAGTAGATGAAGTTCAAGAGCTGGAGGCAAAATCTCAAGACCCAGGAGCAGTCGTGCTTGGAAAAAGGTAAAATACACTGAACACATTCTTTTCCAAGTGAACTTTAAATTTTTCTTTTACCAGTGTTTGGAAATAAGTGGTAAAAGTCATGTTTATCAGTTAGCAAAGAGCTAGCAGTGTCATTGACAGATTTTGGAATCAGAGAGATGTGAATTCAAGTCAAATCTGTCATTCACTAAGCTGTGTGTGACCTTAACCAAGTTGCTTAATGCTACTGAGCCTCAATTTTTTCATCTATAAAATAGGGGTGATAGTGTCCACCTCATGGCTAGTTGTAAGAATTGAATAAAATACTGTCAATAAAGCAGATAGTTTGGAGTCTGATGCTTAATGAGCATTAAATAAATGGTAGTTACAAATATCGTGCTATTAAACTAAAAGGGAAATAAAAGACTTTTAGCTTGAAACAGTATCCATAATAAAATAGCACGTTATGAAAATCAGAGCTTGACGTAGGGCAAAGCACCCTACAATTGCGTACATGGTTCAGTACGCTATTAGGAACTTCCCTGGGCGTGTATCATATAGCAAGTGAGTTGTCTCCCATGTCCTTTCCTCACCACTGCCACCCAAAAAAGCAAGGTTGGAAAGCTAATAAAATTTACTGAATTCACAAAGCATTATAAAAAAGAAATTAAAATTATTTGAAAGCAGTCTATAATAAAAACACAATTATGAATATAATACCAGGTATTTATTTTTCTCTCCCTCATCACACTAAAATGAGCTAAAGTTTTGTCTAAACCACAGGAAACGTTTTGCCCTGGTATATGTTACCTTTGTCATGATTCACTGTTGTTAATCTGTTTGACATGATGGAGTAAGTGTCACATGGGGAATTCAAGACAAGACCCTGGCTTGCAGCCCTCACTTGCTTTCATGAGGCCTTGGGATCATATCACACACTATTCTGTGCCTCTCAAAATAGTAGCGCTGGCATTTGTTGAGCACTTACTGAATGCTGTGTGCTACAGTTAACACTTCCTGTGTACTATCTCCTTGAAATCCAATAACAACCCTATACAAATCCATCATCTGCATGTTTTTCCAGATGAGGAAACTGGATCTTAGACTCTAAGTTATCAGTCAGAGTGACAGATCTGGGCCTTGAGTCCATGTCAGTTGATTCTCAAGCCCCTGCTCCTAACCATTCTGCCTCCTTGTGCTGCCTTTCCTTTTCAAGAATGTGATAAAGCAGTAAAAACAGCCAACCACTGACTTTCAAGTCCTTGACCTCTCTAAATCAGTGTCCCTGAATATATTGATAGGAATAATAATACCTACTTTCTAGGTTATAAGTATTCTCCTCCTCCCTCCACCTTCCCCTCCATCTCTGTCCCTTTATCTAAAAAATCTACACCCGTTCCATCGCCTGACATAAGTAGTCCCTCAGTAAATATCTCCTCTCACTCTCGCTGTAAAAAGGATGTGGTTAGAGTTCCAGTTCATGAAATTGTGATTAAAACCATTTTTTAACAATTATTAGAGAAAGGCCACTGATAATACTGTTACTACTCTCAGGTATAAATTTATTATATTTATATGTTAATAAAACTTACATTAAGCCCTTCCAAGTGATATTTAGTTTTTGTGGTTTGTAGTATATCAGTGACTTTGACAATTCATAAATCAGACTGAGGATTCAATATGATAACCTCTAGACCCTAAAGAGTCAATGAGTCTATGATGTCAGCCTTTTCCATTAAATAAAATAAGTTAGAGAGCCTAAAAGGAAAAAAGTGAATTCTGCCGTAAGTGGCCACCACCTTCTCCATAGAAAATGCATCTGATATGCTTCCTGCTGCTGCGCAGCTTATTTGCCTAACATAGCTATTCAGCTTTTCTCCATGACTATGGAATAGTTAGCTATTAGCTGAATGCCACAGACAGAAACCCCTGGTACAACACATAGCCCATGTTGCTGTCGCTGCCTTTCGGTGCTCAGAAGAATGGTTATGGTCAGCCTGACCGCAGTGTCTTCCTACTGTTTTTACATTTATTGTATTATAAAGTATCTGTTTGTTTCCCCTGCTAGATTGAGCTCCTTGAAGGAAAAGCCTCTGTCTTAGTCTTAACTGCTACCCAACACCTAGCCTACCACCCGGAGCATAGTAGCACCAGATAAATATGTGTTGAATGGATGAATGAATGGTCAAGAGAATGGTCTGAGGAATGAGTGAGTGAGTGAGTGAGTGAGTGAAAGGGTAGGTGAAAGGATAGTGGAGTAGTGGGTGGTAAATAGACGGTTGACCTGTGGGTAGTTAACTCAAAATAGTATATGTAAAAACATAGAATCATATAGATTACATTTCTCAAATTAGTAATGTCCAAAGTAATGGTGGTTTATTTTTTTTGTCAAAGAATGATTCAGTTCTTAAGGAAGAATTTGAGAGCCGATCATCCCTAAATTTTGTTTAAACTTCTCTAAGCAGTGCTGTGAAGTCAAGCTACACATAAAATGAAACTGTCAGAGAAACTATAACTTGTAGTACTGTTAGTATTTACAATAATTTATTTCTCATCTTTACTCATTTTCAAAAATTAACACATCTTAGTTAAAATAGTCTTTTTTAGAAGAAATAGGATGCCACTTACCATCTTATCCAGCAAATTATGTATAGTCCAATTATACATTGAAAATTGGGAGGGAAAGGTGTATTTCATCATCTAAGTATACTGCTTTTGAGCCATGGGTTATAGTAGAAATTGATTGAAGCCTAAGATATTTGGAGAATAAATCCAAAGCTTGTTCCTGATCACTGTGTAGCCATGGCTTATTATTTTTGGTTAAGAAAATAACATATGAGCTGTGAGACCCTATTCTTTGCCATAACTTTTATGTGGACATGCTCCAACTCCACAGAGAGGAAGCATCTACAATTCCAAACTTCAAAAAACTTCGAAAATCAATTTTTTCTATAGGTTTATGGCAAATATTTGCTGAAAAAAACTCAGCCATTTTTTCTATAAATATTAGGACATTAACAGTGTTTGTTCTGTCTATAATGTAAATATTTATATGTTTTATAGCAGAAATGTTAATTTTGGGGAGCCTCTCAGATCCCACTTGGGAGTTTTATATCTATAAGTAGTGCGTAAAATCTCGTTTTCTTAAACAAAACAAAAAATTTTTAAATGTAAATTCAGAAACCCAAAGGATTAAAATAAGGGATGTGGACACTGGCTTCATTAGAGACAGGCAACGGTATCCAGTTTTGGATATCTTTGGTGTTCATGTGAAGCAGTGCATCTTATAGACAGGCAAATATAATAATGAGATTCATAACTTTTTATATCTAACTGTAACATTAACCAGCATATCATCCGCAGTCATTACTAAACAGTCCTAGGATCTTCAGGTCAGTTCTCATTAATTTGCCCATCACCTTTGTTTGAGCCGTGGCCTTAGCTTTAAAGAAGAGAGTAGGGAAGTATAGATGTCAGATAATTCGGTAATGTGGATGGCGAAGGCGGTCTCTCACAGCATTTCTCTATATTATTAATGAAAAGCAATTTTAACATTGCCCCAGAACTAATGGAAAAGAAACTATATTTACCAGTTTTCACCCTGGATTTTATATTTTAAATTTCTTGGTGGAGGTTTAGGATAGAAGGACACAGCAAATGGTTTCCCTCAGCCTATTGTCCTCACTGTAATGATTCTATCCCACACTTATAAAGAAAAAAGTGACAGAACAATGAAATATTCTCTCCTCCAGAGCAGAGATTAGGCCTGTTATAGTCATCGTTTATCTCCCCACCACCACCACCTAGTACAGGACAGCTGTCTCACGCTACACACTAAAACACTTATGAATGAAGGGTTATTCACTTTCTGGAGATCCAGTTTAACGAGTCAACCAAAATAGCTTCACAACCCAGTATGAAAGCAAATGCAGGTTTGCCACTCTTAAAAGATCCCTGAAGGTACCTTATGACAGCATGATCCAGGACTGTAAGTGGGTTTTTACCTTTACTTTTTTTAATGTTTATAAATGAAATATTATTTTAAAACATGGTATCTTTCTACCCCACGCCCACCAGATATCTAAGTTGCAAAACTAGTGGGCTTGGAAATAAGGCAACACTATTTAAGTGGTAGTCATTGTATTACTGCATTAGCAAATTCAGAATTTGCATAGCTTGGTATATAAGTGAATGACCATACAAGACTGAGTAAAACTAAGTGTTGTGAAGATGTGGTTTCAGTGAGACATTTTTCTTTCTCACCCTATATTAACCTATTCAACAAAAACTTAACTTATAACATATCTATTATTAGATAACCTGTTACCAGTATATTTTATAATGTGACTTGATAGTAATATCAGTACCCATAAACATCTGTGGCACAGAATTGCATAATTTTGACATGATGAATAATCCCTAAAGGTAGGATGAGACGATGAGAAATACAACTCTTCATCACTATTAAGCACCCTCCTGTGAATGGCATTTATATTCTCTAGGAGAGACTGTGCTCTACAAAAACTAAATATGTAGCTAAGGCAAAATTTAATAAATAAATAAATAAATAAATAAATAAAACCTCATGATTTTTTTACTAAGGAAGTAGATTGGGGGCCATTATACATGAAACTCATGTGTAACAATAGACATCATGTGTTTAGCTAACATTAAATAGAAACCAAGGCATCAGAAATGATCCTCGCAAAATATCTTTTGTTTTGTGATGTCCTTCTAGTTGATTTTTTAATAATAAATTTTTCAGGATCTGAGGAGTAGTGAGAGTGAGAGGGACTAACATTTGTTGAGTGCTTCCTAAGTGCCAGTCACATACTGGAAGCTGTACAACTCCCTAAATCCTCACAGTCAGCCTGCGAGTTAGGGACTGTCCTCCTGCTATACATAAGATGAATGAAAAAGGTTTGCCTAAGGTGGCTCAGCTAATAAGTAGCAGACTCAGAATTAAACCAAAGTAAGATTGCCAAGCTCATGCTCTTTCCACAGTAATGTGCTCCTTTCCCAAGAAAGACTTTTTTTTATTGCTTTTTTTTGAACATTAATGTAATAGCTGAATGAAAACATAGCCTTATATGAACCATTACAAAACAAAATTACATTATTTTGTACATTTAAGTTGCTATAACATAAAAGACAAATTTCTCATGTCTGCCTTAGGAATGCCAGCCTAAAACCTGGAAAATGTATTTTGGTAAAAAAGCAGCTATATAATGATACATTGTCATCCTCTAGTCATCTGTAGTCATTTCTATCTTATACACCAGAGACTTCCCAGCACCCCATCCTGCAAGACTCTGCTAACAAAGTCAGACTACCTGCTGCTAACACTGCCGGCTTTTTTAAAGCAGTCACATATTTTAGTGTCTGTCGGGGTCCTGGGGTCTATAATGTTTGATCATTTTAAGAGTAGAGTAAGAAAAGTGACTTGAAATGGCCCCTTCTCCTTCCCCATATCTGTTTATTTCACTGGCAAAAACAAGTTTTACAAATATTTGTAAAACCACTGGAGTTTTAGATTGATTAGTTTTGTTGCCTTAATGTAGCTAATTCCTAATGACAAAAAGTATGTCTAATAAGTACCAGTTAACATTCCAAGACTTTAAAAAATATGTGTAGAAGATTACTACAAATGTCAACATTTCTAAATATTTTACTTCAGCGAAAGCCTAAATGTTTGTGTAATTACAAGTTCATTTTGCAGAAGATCCTTTTTTTTTTTTGCATATGATAAAAATTGTTCCATTTCAGGGTCTCAAAATAATTGGCAAAATACTAAACATAACTTACAGCAATTTAACTAAAGTTTTTACAGTGAGGAAAATATGAGATGGAAAATTTTCAGCTGAGTCAGTTCCAGTGATTAAAACAAAATTGTATAAACATTTGTCACAATGCATATAGATTACTTATTAGCTCTTCACGCTTATTATGTTCTTTGATATCAAAGTTTATAAATCAGCCTTTGGAGAAATAACATGATTGGAAGGATTGATGAAGTTCAGAATTATCACTCAAATTCATATATTCGACAAAGATTTGAGTTCCTACTGTGCGAGACATGGTTCTACATGCAGCGGGAAAAAACAGATGCATTATATCTTGCAGTGTCCTTTTAGAAGTTTCATAATTAATTACATGGATTTGTTTCTGTGGAAAAGATAATTCTAAACATTCTTTGAAAAATATTTTTCCTTGTCATTCTACCTAGTATAATTAGTTTCTGAAAATAGTTTATTTTCAAATGAAATAAAGGAACATATTTCATATCAAAGTGGCAATGGAAATTTTCTAATTAAGAAAGAAATTTCTTCTTTGTGTAATTTTTAGGATTTCTTTACATAACTAAAAAACATTGTACACCAAAATATGTGCGGAGTAGGAAAAGATATAGTAATTAATTTTTTAATTCTAAAAATGCCATGCTTAGAATATATATAGTAAGTCAACCAAGATTTTAAAAGCTAATAAACTACTAGAAGATTTTTTTATTAATTGCATTGTGCAGGTTCTGTATCTCCATTTAACTTAAATATAACTGGGGCATAGGGAAATCTTTTGACTGGATTATTGAGGACAAAATGGTCTTCTATCTAAACTTTTGAAATCTCATTAGCTGAGAAAATGAGGGTGAAAAAGAAATCACTAGACTACAGATTTCTCAAGCAATCTTTTGTTTAAGCCTGACTCTCTCTGGTGGCCCTGTGGGCACACTGGGATCTCTGCGAGTTGATAATTCATTTCACACGTTTGCACCTGCTCTGCAGCCTCACAGAGAGGGCACAACTGCTCAAGAACGTCTTTAAGAAGAATCACGTAAATTTGTACCGGTCTGAATCGTTGCAACAAAACTTGCTCCGTAAGTATCTGAGTTATTTTTTTAAAAATTCTGCCATTACTTCACAGAATTCATGAGAGCAGTATTTTGACTTTAGGGATATTTAACTTTTAAATTAGCAGCTAAAATAAGTTTTAATATTTTGCAATATGTTATGTAATAACAAATGTTTAGAGAATCTTTTGACCACAGTGGTCTCACTTTTAGCAGAAGAGTTAGAGCATTTTAAAATCTTGCTGCTTTCACTTAAAGAAAAATAATATTTCCACATACCCTTTGCTTCCTTAAATCTTAAAAAAAACTAGTAAAATAAATCTTAACTCTTAAAAGCTCCCTCTATAATGTTATCTTTTCTCCTTGAATAACTTTGCAAGAGCTTTTTCAGCTTTCATACAGCACAATGAAACATATTTTCCCCTTCAAAAATATTTATGAACATTTAGAGTTGTAGGAAATTACTAGGTATCATGCATGCCCTCTTAACATTTCAAGGATCCAAAAAAGAATATGATATATAAAGCTCTGTAGTAAATGTGTTTGTGTTAGTAATATATCTTTTGTTTCATGTTGTTTCCACATAAAATTTATTTTCATTTGTATATATTCATGTTTAATGTTTTTGCTCTTTATACTTCAAGAGGCCTTTTCTAAAGATACGATCCCTTTGGGGGCCATTTCTTACCCCCACGTCCTCTCCAGCCAAATTGGGGCTTTAGTGAGTTTATTTGTAGATGCCCAAAGCCAAGCAGAATGTTGTTGGAGGGAAGAAGACCACTTTTCCACCATTTACAATTACATGTGCTTATCTCCTTCCTTTTGTTCTTCCTTCCCTCTCATTCTCCTCATCTAGAGGGAGATCTGGTAGTCGGGAAGGAAAAATTGGATGAATCAGACTTGAGATGCTGAATTGAGAATTGAGGGGCATTGACAGTGTCTGTTCATTCATCTAGGGAACAGAACTATAGAATCTAAGCCAGTATCCCACTCTTAATTTTGCAGTTGAGTCTGTATCTTTTCTGGGCATTAAAAATTAGTGTTTTCATGCTTTTAAAGATGGGACAGATGCATTCATTCTCCAAGTTATAAAATGAGCACTCAGAACTCAGAATAACAGACATTTCCAGTGTCTTAAAGATGATCATTTCTATTTTATCTTTGACTTACAGATGGGTATGCTTTCTCTCAAGATGAAAATGGAATCGTCTCACAGTCGGAAGTGATTAGAGCGTATGATACCACAAAGCAGAGACCTGATGAATGGTGATAGGGAGGGGCTGCCAGGCAGGCTCTGCCGTGTCTCTAAGGAGAGCTGCCCGGTCTTCACCAGAATCTGCTGACCAATTCCAGCATGGTCCAAGGAGGGGAAAGGTGGATCTGAGCTCACTGAGAATTGATTGACATTCAGATTCATGTATATTATAGACATAAGCACTGTGCAACTCTACTGTAACACCATCTCTTTCAGATTTTTTTAAGTATTTGCTAAGTCTTTGTAAACAGAAATTGAAAATGACCTTGTATCTTGCCAGAGTGCTTTCTTAAACTGAGAATAGGTCAGTATTCTTAAGCTGTTACTCTGGGGCTGTACCTATCAATTTCTTGGGTATACCACAAGGCAACCAACCATTAAAAAACTCTAAAATGGTAGTAAGTTAAAGGGACTCGATATCGAGATTTAGATTTCAGAATATGCTGGGGAAAAAAAAAAAAAAACAGCATTCTTTAGGAAATAACTCACCCTACTGAGAAAAATTTCTAAAGACAATAAATGTTTGTGTCAAAAATTGTCCCGATAAATGTTTGCCAAAGAAGTTTAATAAATGTATTTCTCATATAGTAGTCATTTGCCCAGAAGTTTAAGAGAACGTTTACCGCCAGTTCTACTGTAAGATCTGCATGCTCGACTTTTCAAATGTAAGAGTGATTTGCAAAAATGAGTATTTCAAGGCATTTGCTACTAAAATTGTGATGTTGCACCTTTGGCCTTACAGATGCTTCTTTCTTTGTCTTGTTTATTTTTTAAAGTTAGAGGGTGCAGGTGGTAATGTGACTCTGTCATTACAGTACTGATTTTTAAAACTGTATTTATGTCTCAGTCATTTCTAATGAAGTTTCATCATCATTTGTTTTTTTCAAAAAATCTGACTTCTGCTGTAGATTGATTAATGTCATTTTGTCTTAAAATTTTCTCTCATGATAAATATGCTCACATGTTCATGTAGAATTTCTAATGCTTCTGTCGAGATGTTTGAAAATATCATGTCAGATAAATGCATGAGCTCTTGTACTGTGTTTTGGTTCTCCCTGTTAATTCCTGCTAGAGATGCCTGCTCTCTTATGTAGCACCCCCCGCCCTCCCATGTTAGCTGATCGCCCTATAGTTAAGACTGAGAATTACTTCACAGTTCACTTGTCAAGCAGCTCCCAAAATTAGTCACATGCTGCTAATTGGGACAAATAAGTAGTACATTTTCCCCATTTTAAAAACACCTATTTTACTCAAAAAAAGTTTTATAACTTTACAGTCAAAGAACACTTTTCAACGTGAGTAGGTTTCGTTAACATGCTTTAAAATGTACGGTCAGTTTAATTAATTTTAGCATTTTCAAGACATCTGGAAATGCCTGTTTTCCCACCAACAGTAAATGGTGAAGGGGCTGTTTAAAAACCACAACCAGTTTTCTACACTATTTTTAAAAGAATGCTTTCATCTAGAAAAAAATTAAAAGGAATTCTAGTTTTCAGATACATTTCAGAGACTGAAGCAATCTTTTTGCCTTTTATTCAAAAGCCTGTTTGCCTTTAAGTGGACTTACCAGCAAAATAGGTAGAACTTCCTCTTTAAAAAAAAAAGGTCAACTAACACTAAGAGAAGTGATTTTGTTAATCACTCCTCAAGTTTAATAATTTTACATTCTCTTCACTCTTTTTCTCAATCCAGATTTAAAATTAGGCTATATATCATTTCCTTCTGTGTATTTTTAGCTATTTGGTTACAAGCATGCCTCCCACATTTTCTACAAATAAGAGAGGGTATAACACGCACATAATTCTAACCTAAAAGGGGCAAGGAGTTGACATACTTCACTTCCCAAACCTTTCCCACTTGGGATTCAGATTAAGAGAATCATGAATCAAAACATCTAGCAAGACCACATGTCTAGAATTGTCTTCAAAATTCTGAAGTCACAGATTTTAACTGTCTACAGAATAGATATGCAGAGTGACTTTTCTGGGCCTCCCAGCAGTGATGGTTGAGGTCAAACCACAAAAATCGAAAAATAAGAATGATATACATCCCTCCAGAGAAAACCTATTAACAGTTACAGAGAACAGCTGCTATTATTTGCCCTTACCTTACCAGTGGCATTCTCCAAAATTTTAATATCAAAATATGATGAATTTAATTTTATCTTGACACATGGATTATTTCTGTGGGGCTCTCCAACAGGAATATAATACTCATGGTTGATAATACATAGGATCATGGTCTGAAATATGACTATGCTTTTCTGTCCCATGACCCTATATTTGAACTATCAATATTAAGTCAATTTCTTCGCTTTTGGGGGTGAAAAGGGGGTGTTAGCAGCAGGGAGTGACCTCTTTGGCAAAACTTAAAATACAACATTGTAATTGTAGTGGCTTTATAGTGTTAAATCAGAGAAAACCCTCTGATTTTTTAACTTTCCTTAGGAGGAAAAATGTAACACAGTTTTACCAGGATTAAAATAAACAATTGAAGTGACTTTTAACGTGTATTTTCTGAAATAAAGGACTTATGCTCTTCAATTAAAAAGTCCCTTGTAGGGACTCTGGCAAATGCTAACATCATTGCTTTACAGTGTTTACAGTTCAGAAAATACAGCAGAAAATCCTCATTCATTTCTCATGGAAAAGCTGGGAGTTGCTTCTTTAATGATAAATAGTACACAGTGATATTGAGCATGAACTTTCTAAATGTTTTATATATATATGTATATATATATATGTATATATAAATATATTGGTGTCTCACACCCAGAAAGATGCTATATGGTAGAAATTATTAGCAGGAAAATGATGTTTCTCAGGAATGTAGTAAATTTAAAATGATCTATGTGCTGCCCACCCTCCCACACCCCACTCTGTATCTGATGTGAGCCTGCTTCAGCAGTGTTATAAAGTTCATGAAAAACTTTTTCTAATCAAGTTAGATGAATATGTATTCAGCTCAATAATATTAGCCATGTACATGAATTGTATGGTCATTAAATGGAATCAGTGATTCCTCTTAATTTCCAGCGGAAAAAATGAATTCAAGAAATCAGCATTTATTCTGATCATTACATTTTATATTTTAATTTTGCAATTCGGCATTCTAAATATCAATATGACAGCCAGTAATTTGTTGTATATTGTGTGCACTGTACATCACTTATAATCTAACATCCAAAACATTCTTTTAGAAAATGAATGCTAGTCTGAAAATAATAGACTATATATATTTGTACAATTAATAACAATGTCCATTGCAAAGCTAAATAATAATTATAACAATGTCCATTAAATTATAACAATGTTCATTACAAAGCTAAATAATCACTAGTGTTTATTTTTGTGCAGTTGCCCTTTGATAGTTCCTGATTTTAAAATTTATATCAAATAAATCTACAATCTCATAACCATCTACAAAATTTATTGAGAAAATGCCCACCCCATTCGCATCATATGTTCCAGACCTATGAATTCTTTGTCAATTACTTAATGTAACACCATGCAATTCAGTACCTAATTAATGCTTTTTAATAATGAACATTTCTATAATGCCTCTTAAAGAGACGATAGTCTGATTTTTCTCACATTAAAATAACTGAAGTCATTTGAGAAACAGGCATACTTTGCTGCATTTTAATTAACCTTCAACAGCTATTAAAATGGAATGTAAGTTAAATTTTGAAGGAAAGGAAATAAATGTTTTCCGTTTTCCGTCTTGATTTATTTTCTGTATGAGACCAGCTGTGTTTTTGATAGGTTTATGGTTTGCATGAATTAATATTTAAAGTGGTCTAGGCCAGTGCATGGCTATTGCTGTAAATCTTGATGTTTATTTCTGCCTTATAAAATTCTATCATGGCTCACTTGGAATTTAATATTTGGTGGACAAATTAATTGGTCCTCTGCACAACTTTTTTTTTAATAAGTAAATTATTTTACAAACAAATTTGAAGAAATTTAATTGAAACTTTTGTTTAGCTTGCCTCTGAGAACTTGTCTTAATAAAGCTCACAAAACTTCTCAGCAAATAAATCTCCCTTAAGTAGGAAAAAAGCTAGATTTCATACTTGCTTACTTTGAATTAACAGCAACTTTCCATAGGGAAATCTGCTCTTGCAAAGATGTGAGCAGAATATTAAAAATATAATACAGATTTTTATGTTTCATGGTTCTAGAAGCCATAAATGCAGTAAGTGCTGTTTGTTGTTTCTTTTACTACTTCAAGCTTCATTTTTCACATTTTCAAGTTTATTAGCTTAAAAAAAAAAATGCAGCCTTGGAAGGCAGCTGCTATGGAAAATTGCAGTTTGGATTAAAGATAAAATAGTATA